ACTCACTCAACTGGATGCAGCCTTTATACAACTGTCAAATATATTTTATTTTATAAACAAGTTAATGACGTTCCACACCTATCTCTAGGGTAGGTTAGGCTGAGAATCTAAGGCAGCCTGTGATGAATATTTATAAACAGCAGTCATATTTAGAGTTATTGTCACTTGTAGACTATCTTCAATAATTTCAATCTGGACTAGAGAGGATTTCAGCCTGTAAAACTGAAGAAGAATTTGGCAGATCAATGGAATACCTGGTTCCATTCTGTTCTGAGAAACATTTTGCTAAACCCAGTACAACTTAATTTTGACTGGAAAGTTACTTTCAGATCATGAGAGATGCTGTTATCACACAACATTGTGCGTAACGATCTCTCATGTCATATCATATACATCATATAACCTCACAGGAGGAACTACTGGGTAAATAAGGGTCAACCCCATAAAACGGTCTAGAATCCCAGCTTACTACCACCACAGGTGTGGTTTACAGGAGGGTTGCAACGCACTCAGAAATAAGTAGCACCAACGAGCATTTAGGTAGATACATCCAATGTATTTTTGGCACCTCAGTTACATTAAGAGACCAGTATTTCTACACTCCTTCCACCATCAAGAGAAGGAAGGTGATGCTACCACTCTTGGTAAGCTCTAGCCTCAGTGACCCCTGAGAAATGCCTCGCTCCACCAACTTCTCATCTATAGCCAGAGAAGGCAGAAGGTGTGTGTGGGATGCAGTGCCTACAGTCTAGGAGCACCTACTTGCCTCCACTCATGGCCCGTGGGGTCTGGATTATTAGCTCAGACCCAGATATCTGACTGATACAGCAGACAAATCCCACCTGACTAAAAGAAATTTTGTTGTTACTATAGATGTTGTAGGCATGTGACACTAAAATGATCACACTAAGATTGATTATATCAGACTTTGACTCAGCAAGGTATTTAGATGCTTTTCTCTATGACATGAAGAGACATCACTCACTCCAACTGTAACAGATTATTAGCAAAGGATGAAGGGTCATCTGCTCCAAGAGAGTTCAGAAAAAAAAGAAACAAGCAGAACCACAGCAACTCTATCTTGGCTGCTGTTTGATATAAAAGCAGCATTTGAAGTGTTGCATGTCAACCACAGAGCACTTGAAGCTGCTTTGACATTTACAAATTAAACATCTGTCACTGTACAATAAACCTGCTGACTGTGTTTTCCCCTGGGGAAAACAGTCCTGCAAAGTGAACAAGACGAGTTCCACAGACTTGGCAGTCTCAACACAAGCTCCAGGCATGTTTTAATTCCAGAACATCATATAACCCACCAGCATAAGCCATCCTTTTCCTCAACAGGATTCCAAAACATTACAAGGTCAGAATCAACCCTCAAACAGAAAAGTCTCCTGTTAAACCTATTGTATAGCACAATCTGAAAGGTTTCCAGAGAAGGATCTACCAGCACAAATTGTCTGACTTCAGACACAAAAGTAAAGCATAATAATAGCAAGTAATACTGCTAATATCTATGTAATACTTCCGTATTGCTCTCTGTGCTATCAGGATTACTATGTGCAGTAGTACAGACAGCAGAAATAGAGCGACATAAATCCTATGATACTGATCCCATTCTCTGGTCTCTTCCTTTGGAGGTCATCTGAAAAAAAAGAATCAATTGGATCACTAGTTCTTCCATTCAAATTACCATTTACTCCATAGCCCTAGCTACATATCCTAAAAATCACAGGTCAAGTAAAAAAATCAGAGCTGTTTCAATATCTGCATGTTGCTTTTAATAATGATGAGGAAAATATATTACGGGTTTTGCAAAATAGATTCTGGTTTAGCCTGAGAAGAGCATCAGCAATCTTTAACATCGGAAACTTCTCTTTTTTAAGTGAACAACCCAGGAAGATGTACCTGTGTCTTAAATGTGGTAGCATATTTATTGCTTACTGTTTAGCTCTTGCTTATTGCAGGAAGTCTCTGCAGGCTGTGATCTTAAATTTCAGTCTTTTCTAAAGATATGTGGTATGCAGCTGATTGTATCCCCATGTCCTCACTCAGAAATAAGGAGCAGATATGGGAGCTAAGGGACCACAATATGAACTGCTTTAGTCAATGAAGCTTGTTCCAGCAAGACGCTCCCAGGCAATTAAACTGCTACTTCAGTGCAAGCAATTACAGAGTTGTAAGCGTGCCTACTTGCTGCCACACACATAACACTGCCTCTTCCAAAAGCTTTTAGCGAAACCGATTTAGATAGCAACTCTTTGCACAAGAATTTGAGACAATGAGCAGAGAAGTAAACAGCTCTTTAGAGTCATCCTCTCCACAGCTCTATGTTGCAAAAGCCAGTCCCCAATTTCTGTATTCTGCCCACTGATACAGCATTTAACCACCTCTCAGCAATCTTCCGCAAATACACATGGAGAAAAAGCCCTCCTCAGAAAAAAAAAAAAAATGCAGCAAATGTAGAGATTTATTAAAAAAAAAAAAGAGCATGTAAAACATTATAAGGACTTCCATTGAAAAAAAATCAACAAAAATCACTTTTATAAATTCGGGACTCGCCCAGGAGGAGCGGGTCCCTCGTAGGAATGTCTCAGTGAATGAGGGAAATTGTTCACGAGAGGCAGTGGCGGCAGAGGTTCGGTGGCCAGAACAAGCTGTGCATTCTGTGGCCCAGAAGCAAGGCCCAGAGCTGCTCGAGAACGGGCAGGCAGCTCAGAGGCGAACTACACACTAAACTCAAAACTAAACTAAAAGCCCTGTGTGGACACAGGTAGCGATGCGACCAACCAGCTCCAGCACAGCTGACACCAGGAGCTGAGGGAACCTCACGCTGCCTCATTGCCCGTGTGCGGCTGCTCCCCAGCAGGGCTTCACAGAGTCTTGATGGCAACACCCCACAAACCTGGTGACACACTACCTGGCTGGCTGGGCAGCACACAAATTCAGGATTTTGAAAGAGCACAGCCATAGTTTTGCCTTGGGAATAGCACACCCATTAAAGAGACAGTAAATGGAAAATATATGCCAAAGAAACTAGAGTTTTCCAATATTTAAGAGAAGTGTTTTAACACTTAATATAGTAATCTTACTAGTCAAAGCTTCCAGGTTTATTCAACACATAGGCATTTTTAAAAACAGCTTCTTTCTTTTGAAAGGGTTCTTTAGCAAGCTTTTCCTTCTTCCTTTACCACTAAATACCACACACACACACACACACACACAAAGATTTTATAGATGATCTTTTTCAAGCCTTTGAAAAAGGCTTAATTCCTTAGAATCCCCTTTACAAAGGGTTTAAGTACGGCAGATTTTTTTACGAGAGAGAGATATATGCTAAAAACCCTGCCTGTATCATTTTGGATTTCATTTAAAATTAAAATCTCATCTATCTCTCTAATAATGCCACACATTTTTAAGGCGACACAAGTCCAGCTGGGTGGAAGTTCTACCGTTTCTTCTACTCCCAGCTCCATCTTCATTTACTTGGATGGCAGTGGGGAGTGACCTCTGAATGAGCAGGATGATCTTGTGTGCGAGCAGGAACATTGACACTTGGCTTAGTTCAAAAGCTCAACCAGTGTTTAGCAAATTTTCGTTTACTTGGCTTTAGTCATTAAGCCAGCCGGAACTACAGTGAAACTAAGGTTTTCAAATAGTCAAAGTGACAAAGACAAAAATTCAACAAACAAAACTGCATGAATCATAGAATTCATAAAATGGCCAACAGTAATCTGTTTAAAACAATAAAAAATAAAAACATTGACAGTACGAAAGCCAAGTTATTTACAAGTCATTTCAATGGACAGCAAAATTTTCATTTGCAGTTCTGCACAAATGTAAGCATGCAAATTTAATAAAAAGAAATATAAGACTGGCATGTCACAAGGGGTTCTCGACGCTACTTTTCATTTTTTGAAAACAGACAAATAAGTCTAGGTTAGATGTAAATCAACATAATAAATCACTGAAACTTCACATTGTTTGTGATTCACTATGTTAATAAGAAATTCAAATCTCCAGGTGTTCAACAGGCAGATTAAAGATACCCAGTGCATGCACAAGTCAATTGAACTACTTGTAATTACATCTGAAAAGATAATCAGAGAATGCATTACCATAAAGTTAAGGGCTTTAATTTTATTTTAGGTACAGAAGGCCAGCAGAAATCATATAACATCAATTAAAACCCATGTTAAAAGCTGTTGTCTATAGACAATAGCTATTAATGAGATTTCAGATTAACATACATGCTTCTTGCTTTACTCAGAAACCTGTTGCCAGCTGTTAAAATTATATGGATCAAACCTATGTTAATTTTGCTAAAAACATAAGTATTGAGGACGATGTCCTTTGCACAAAGGTTATGGAACTTATTCTGCATCACTAAAATCCTTGTGAAGTTTTTAAGTAACATTCTGATTTTTAAACCTACTCCTTAACAGATCTCTCTTTCCAAAATAATCACTATCCGATGCAGAACTTGTCATTCTACTTGCAATTCCAATTTCCTTAAGTACAGTAAGCAGCATTGTGGCGAGACGTCTACAAACAGCAGATTTAAATCTAGAAAATATTTCGGGTAGCTTGGAAAAGGAGTGCTTTAAGTCATTAGTACTCAGAAGGCAGATTTAAAAGAAAATCTTGTTAAAAGGGTAACTGAGAAGTTCTTAAATTTCCATTTGAAACATGGATGACAGATATCAACACTACTATGAACACAGACAGGAATAAAAGATATTCTACTATTCTATTGGGGAAAAAGGACACATAGCTAGCACAACCAGAGCATATACATCACTGTTGCGGTCAAAAACAAGCTAAAATGCCAAATAGTGCATGGCAGGGAAAGTACAGTGCAAATACATTCAAGCAAGTAAGATTAAGTCTGCATCTTGTGAAAATAAACCCACGTTATTTTGGGAAGCAAAATAATGGATTTAGAATTGCGGGGGGCCATTGTAAAGCATCATCTTCATAGTCTGAGGACACAGGGACTTAGGTCAAAGCACTGGTTTAAAGAGTCCACCCCAGCTCACATTCCAACCTTGTGCTTAAGTACACCGTCAATTGTTTGTAGAGCCATACTGTGCATTGGATAAGGATTACTCATATATATATATGTATATATTTAAGCTTGGAGGCATTCAAATATCAGCTAACAACACTAACTCCTGAAAAATAATCACGTTAGCAACACAGAAGACCCCGAGATGTGGCAGTAGGACTCTTCCAAGAGAGAAGTTCTGAGCAAAGAGTATGAGTTCTCCTGGGCAGTGCCTAATCTTGGATTCAGAGACGGCTTCCCCAGCCTCCCTTCTTCCCCCCCGCTTTCTGCTTCCTTAAGTGAGAAATCTAATTCTTCCACCTTTCACTAATAATGAGATCTTAGCAGACAGACTGCTTGCGCACCTTCCTTTACTACATCAAGCAGCATAGTACAGGAAAACAGTAAAGCCAAAACTGCACAGCAACTTGAGCTTAGGTTGGTCAAGTAACTTCCTCCAGTTATTTTTAAAGACTGAAAACCTATAACTACTCTTAAAGAATAATAAACGATTATTTTCTTTGCATTAAAAGGCAGATTTTATTACTTTTGGAAGAAGGGGAGTGGTTGCTGCTAGTTGGGGCACTTGGCCTCGGTCTAAAAGTCAAGATACCCCTCTTATGCCTCTGACCACAATGATGTGAATAAATGAGCATTTGGGCTGAGTTTGCTCTTGAAATTCTTTGCATTCTTTGTTTGATATTTTATTTAACAATCCCTTGGTTGGTAGCATCATCAACAAGAGAAGAGGATTTTTATTTGACTTCAGCAATGTTTTCTATTCTGGAATGACCCTTTGCACTTAGAAATAATGCTGCAGGTGAAAGCATGATGCCCCTTACAACATAAGATGCAGTCTTATGTAGCTTCACATGAAAAGTGTCTCAGGAAATCCATTTTCCTCTTCAGATTCGTGACAACTGAATCTGCAGATCTATTCTGAGAAATAGTAGCAGTTCTAAGTGAGGAGCTGGAGGTGTACAAGATGAATTTACAGGACCTGAGAATTGTACATGTATGCAGTAAAAGCATAAAATGCATCTTTGATCTAGCAAATGCCCACAAATACATTTTCATCATAGTATAGATATTAATAAACACTATGCCTTATTATTATATACAACTTGTTATCTAAACGAGTAACTTTAAAAATACATAGCAAGTTCTTATCTGTACCACGTACTCAGGACACTAAATATACCAGAGCTGGCCTCTCATTAATAACTCCAGACCAGCCAAAGGGTTTGTTAGCCAGGAACCTCCTGCTGCTTCTCATTGCTCACGCTCAGCTGATGTGAGTGAAGGTGGAGGGAGAGAGGAGACAAACCTGGATACCAAAGTTTTTGAAAAGATGCATCAGGTTAACAGTCTCCAGGAGAAAGACACGCAAGTCAGATTCTCATCTCTAAGCACCTTACCAGGGTTCACAGGCATAACCACAAACATGGAAGAGGCAGCACTGTAACATAAGCTCAGGAATGAAAGTCTGCAGAGTTTGGGCAGCGACAGAGGCACGTCAAAATGCCAAGCTCCATGAGGACAGTGAAGAGCAAGAGCCACTGGAGGACAGTAAAATTCTGTGAAAGAAGTATCTTGCCCTTGACAGGAACAATTTTCAAAACCAAGCCTTCATAGTTTTTCTGTTGATTTTTCTGTTAGACATTTCACCATTATTTCAAATGTTGAACAACTTGTTCTTTCTTCCTTTAGATATCCTTCCAATGTATTTTTTTTAAATACACATCACTTGAAAATAGGCCTGAGGAACATCCAAAACAGTCACTGAAAAGTGAGTGGGCTAGTGCGCTGATCAGAGTTGTAGCTATTTATTTCTTTTTTCCCCCCAGTTAAAAAGACACTATTTTTTCTTCTCCTGTCCAGGAAAAGCACGAGACCATTACTTTTCAAATCCGTAAGATGTAGTTGCAGTGTTAATTAGGGTTTTTCCATCGGTCTCAAATAACTTCAGTCTCCTATGTCCTTAACTTACTATTAAGTTCTCATTTATTACAGACACAAGTAGACAAAAAAAAAAAAGAAAAAAAAAAAAAAAAAAAAGAAATCTAGGTCTGGTCCTGGTTTGAGTGCAACTTTAAGTGTTGGACAGAGTTTTTGGAAGCCGATGTGAGCCTTGGGTGCCCTATACCTCTAAAAAACACCTAAATTCAGTTTGCCCATAAGCAGTGATCCACAGAGTGAGCCAGCACTAGGTCTTGCCTTGCGCAGCTCTGCTTGCCAACGATCCTGCCTTCATCCTTGCACCTAATTTCATGGGCTGGAACGCAGGGCAACACCTGCGAAGGGGCATTTCACAGAGCGGCCCTGGCACAGAGTCAGGGCACACGGCGGCGGGCGGGAAGGAAACGTTTCCTGCGCCAAACTGCGAAACCCATAAATGACACGTGTCTCTCCATGACTAGCTCGGGAAAAACCTCGCGCCCTTACAGCACTGGAGGAAAGCGAGGGGCAGGGCCTGATGCTCCCATTTTAGGGTGTCGATGCTTACAAACTTGTAGCGATTGAAGTTAGCGATATACCCCGGGGAGCAACGCTGGGGCCTCAGAGGCCTCCCGCGCACGGCCCCGCGCCGGCACCCACCTGCACGCCGGGGAAGGCGGCCCGCAGCAGGTGGAACATGCGGCGGTTGGAGAGCAGGTCGCCGCTCGTGAGCTTCTCCTCGGCGCCCTCGCGCGTCTTGCCCTTGGCCTTCTCGTTGAGGACGTTGCCCTCGCGGACGCGCCGCACCTCCGCGCCGCCG